ACAGTCTATTGACACTGTGAATTTATGTTAGTAGAATACTGATATTTTGACCGATGTCAATGGCGTCTCAATAGTGTGTCAACGGATGACAGTGGCTTGGCCTTAACATAAAATAGCAGAGTTGAGGCCTTACTACATGCTTAATTTTTGATTGCTTTTCAAATATCTACCTACCTTATCATTTGTAATACACAACTCAGCATTAACATCTGTGAGTGAATAATAAATCACTCCTATTTGCCCACCCTTAGGGTATTTTCTTTTTCAAATTTATATGGGACCAATTTCGAGTTATACCCTATCCAATAAGAAATAATTATCAAAATCGGAATAGTCTGTAAAAAGTTATGCGTGGTCATACATAAAAAAAAATATATACGCGTCGACTTGAGAACCCAATCCGTTTTGCAAGATTAACAAGATTAAACCTGACCCACCACGAATGGTATACTACGAAATTCCAAGGCTAATAATAAAACCTATAAAGGTAAATAAACCCATAATAAGGTACAAAAGAGATATGTTTCTTAAAATTTTATTAGTTGTAATACTTCAATCGTTTTCAGACTTGAATGGGACTATTTCGTTCATTTATTAGAGACTAGACTTAGACTTTGAGAAATTTATTTACCTACCACCTTTAATGTCCTGGTTATTTGAACTTTAACTACCATATATTTACATCAACAGCCTCTATTGTTTTAATACTGAAATAAGTATCTTTATTCAATAATAATAATAGTCTCATCCCAAACTAGGCAGAGCTTGTGCCTATGGTAACCAGACTTATATCTTTCTAATATTTTTTTCTAATAAATGACAATTCCCGCCCTAGGAATATATATCCTGTGTCACGGGGGACTTTGCGAACATACATGAAACGGACTCAAAGAACACTCAGAATCAGAACGACAATTTATGGATCACACAAAGTGTAGTGAAATGTGTCGAACCCACAACAGTCAGCGTGCGGCGTGGCGACCGCTTAAACCACTACGCCATCTGTGCAGTATTTATATATTACAGATAAATCAAACCCAGATATAAAACAAATTATCGTGCTTATCACAGCAATTGTTTCTTAGCAGTTAGGATGACTCGTCGAGGTCTCTCGTCTGGTGTAACCACTAGACCAACAGCCCGTCAATTGCTTAAATATGGGTCAAATCTATTGAACTCCAACAGTATGACTATTAATTTATAAGTAAATAGCTAACTAATAATAATGAGCTTAAAATATTGATTATGTACCTTTTTTATTCATTACCTTTTTTATTCAGTACCAAATTTTTGTTTATATATAACATAGATCAAAGGACATAGATGCTTTGATTGACTGACCAATATTGACATGCCCAGATTACATTGTGTGCAAACCACAATGTCTGGATGGATATTTTATAGATTTGAATCGACCGGCGATGGGATCGCATGGTTTTGCTCCGATCGTCCGATCGGTCCGAAAATTGATTAGATCCTATGCCCACAATCTGATCTTCGAAAAAATCGGATCGGATCGGCGCATCACTACTAGTCGCATATATTTTGTTTTATTATTTATACTTTATGCACAAACGTGACAAAAGTGGACTTAATGAAGTAGGCATTTTTTCCCAGTCAACCTTAGGGTGATACAGAGATAAATAAAATAATATATTACGTCTAACATCTCACCTGCCACCTGACGGCCAACTCTGGCACCGCGCTTGCTATTTTGTTCACTTTGGTTCACAGATTAAGAGAAATGTACATAGTACTTTGGTTGTATTATAAGAAATCATTAAAGAACCCCATAAACTTAATTCTAGATGATATTACATTTCACATTGTGCCTAGGATATGACGAAGCAGTTTTATATGTCTCCAAACCCAAACTGGTACTTCAAGCAACTAAATTCTGGTCATGGCAAAAATTTTAGCGAGAGCGAGACTTCTCCTTTTTCAAAAAATACAATCGATCAATCCAATAACGTAATTTGTAAACGTAAAACCTACCTACGTTTTATTGCTCAGAATTTTCTAATTAGTTTTCATAGGGGAAACTTCTATCTTATAAATAAATAGTATCATATTTATAGACATTAATAACTGATTCTAAATTTACGTGCAATAAAAGAAAAACAAATGTGTTATACAGAATTTACGGCTAAATGAATGAAGGCCATCAATTGGCTATTATCGGCAGGGTCGGCAGTCAAGTATGTCACTCAAACTACTCAGACATGCGGGCTTTATCAATAGGTATTGCGTAACTAAAAACTGGGGCAAAAATGTTCAATAAAATTTACAATATTTTGATTTGTTAGCATTTTATTGTTTGTTAGAATAATAATAATAACTTCACACATCCCATACACGGCAGTCTGGTCCAAAACTTGGCAGAGCTCTTGCCCTGAACGATGGTAACCAGTCTGCTGATAAACATACTTATACATATTTCTAGACGTATACAAACTAATTAATAAAATGCACCCAGGTACAGAACAAATGATCGTGCTCATCACAATATATTAAAACTTGTCCTGGGTGGGAATCGAACCTACGACCTCCGCCTTTGCGGTCAGGGTCACCAGTAGCTAGACCAACAGATTATAAGCTAAATGCTGTCTTTATGAAGCAAGTCCGATACGGAGACGACAGAACTACTTTTTTTGAACAAGCTAAACATGCAAATAAACATACGGATCTATGGAACCTTTTCGGTTAGAAACTTTAATAACATAGCTCACGTAGGACCCGTAATATTTGTGGCCGTGGTGCTTCCCTGTTTAAAAGGGTGTATGCCCATTTTACTTCATTTTGTCTCCCGCTTTGCTAAGGAGGGAAGTGGATTTACTGTATTTCCAACTCCTCCAATTTTCTTCTGATTAATTTCGTTGCGGGTTCCAAGACAGTTTAATTTCTTCCTGGGACTTCCCGAGTGTCATAACTCGGTGTGTTCGTGGGTCACTGCTGTGGATCCTGGTGTACAAGAGTTACAGTGGTGGGCGTGTGGGTGGGATTAGTCCCAACCCCCAGATAAACAGTACTACGCAGTATGTAGTACGTATTAAATGCTCATTTAGCATATCAAGTCATCCCCAAAGCGGTAGTCAGCTACCGCTTTGGGGATGACTTGATATCGGGGATGGAAACTTTAATGTAGGTATGGATTATAGTGTTCATTCTTGGATTTATGGTGTTTTATCTACGCTTTACATTATAATATACATGTCATCAGAAATTCAGAAGTAGTTCATTGCCACACACTTTTCATGCTGGATACCCATACATAACCCCTTTAAGTTAAACCTCGGGCATCCATTCTTCTCGTTGCCTGTATCGCTTCCACTTCAACTTACAGGCAGCTGTACCCCGTATTCTCTCTATGGAATGAACACTCAGTTCAGTCAATCAGAAGGCCAATTCTCGTAATTAAAGTTCAGTCACAATTCAGTTCCAATCATCTTTCGATCTCACTACTATCACTTAAGGTATTTTCGTAGTAAAATATAAAAGCATTACTAAGACTAACAGATTACCGATTCAATTTACGGTTACAATACGATATAATCACATTACAGGCAACGTTGGATGTTTAATCCTTTACTACGAAAATAACCTTTTATGACAGTTGGGAGATCAAAAGTTGATCGGATCAGAGAGACAGTCAGTGTCAGACTCAGGCAGATTTCACTGTCAGTGTCACCTAAAACTGATAGTTTTGAACCCCCTGTTAGTAGCGAATGCTTTTAGAAGCTAGTGGATTTTTCTAGTGGTGGTTAGTTGTAATAGTAACATTGTGGAGGACTTAGGAAATGATGTTCAAAGATAAACTGTGAGATCTGTTTGTGTACGCAAACCTCAAGAAGATTTAATGGGAAAGGAACGATGGGCATTGGACAGAAGTGCTCACAAAGAGAAGGATTATTAATTTTAGGCAATGGTATGATGTAAGCTTTGTGCCAGAGAGAGGGAGAAATGCCGGAGTCGAGAAAGAATTCAATAATGTAGACTAAAACTTCGAGGATGTAATCCAGGATGGTAACTATCTTCCTAAGGCTAACGTCATCCCAAACCATTGTGTTACAATAAACAGTCAGGTGATCTTTTTGATGTCCCCAGAAGGCACAGTAGAAAATTCAAAGTTGACCATATGGGGTCTGGGCACCAGTGAAATAATTCAAAGTCCGACTCTATGTTTAATAATCCAGTTCAGTAGGAGAAGAGAAATGAAAATTTAAACCAATGAAACTCGCTCCGTTGTTCTCTACAAATGCCCAACGTGTTCAGGAACTTCCACATACTAGAAGTATTACTCCTTAAAGATGCCCAAGGGGCCAAGTTACTTCGACATTTGAGTATTACTCTTTTAATACTACCTTATTTCAATGCCGATGTTGAGAGACTATCTAAGCAGAGGAAAAGAATGAAGCTAAATATTTTATCTGCTATGTTAAGAACACGCCGTGGTTAAAGGTTCAAATTAAATGTTTCAACACAAACAAAATATGAACTTCCAATAAACACCTGTAAAACAAATCTCCTCTTGGCACCGATTTGTTTTTGTATTAATCTAAAACCAACGATGTTGGTACTGACCAAAACGATTAGGGACAGTATTATATTTTAATAAAGGAAACTAGTTATTTAAAAAACTTATGGTTTTCTTTCATAATTACAAAAAAAATGTTTAGTAAATTCAGTGCCTATTGCTAAAGTTAGGCTGTTATGTTGGTGGTTTTCTGGCGGTTTTAAATGTTGAATCTGGTGGACAGTTCATTTAACTGTTGGCAACACTGGTCACTGTTTCAGTCAGTGACGTCAGTGTGTCACTCAACTCACTCAGTTCATTCACTCTTTTTCTGTCAATCGCCACACAAAGTAGTCGCGCATGTCGTAATTCAATTTTCTGCGTTGAATTGAAATATATTCAGAAAATAAACATCTAACTTGAAAGCTAATGCAGAACTTGTGCACATATTATTTTAATATTACTTAAATTAATCGTAAGCAACGGGATGGAAACCGATATAGAACATATTGCCGAGAACGGTGATGTTTTCATTCATCGTCTGAAAAAGTTATCTGACGATGAAAAACAACGCCTCGTAGCCCAAAATTCTCGATTGATACCTGAAGCCAAAGCTGCGCGCCTCGAGAAAGATGCTAAACGTCACTGGGATATCTTTTACAAAAGAAACGAGACGAAATTTTTTCGGGACCGGCATTGGACCACACGTGAGTTTCAAGAGCTTATTAATTTTGATGCGGGAGAAGAAATAAAGTTTTTAGAACTTGGATGTGGCGTTGGAAACATGGTATTCCCTTTAGTTGAGGAGGGTTTCTCTAATTTTTATTTCTACGCATGCGATTTCTCACCACGTGCTGTTGAGTTTGTCAAGTCGAACAAGTTGTTCAATGAGAGTCGTATGAAGGCGTTTTGTGCGGATTTGACAACAGACGATTTGTTCGAGAACGTTCAGGAAGAGAGTATTGATATAGCAAGTTTGATATTTGTGCTGTCTGCCATACACCCCGAGGCCTGGTCGCAAGTGGCTAAGGTTGCGTATCGTGCTCTACGCCCGGGCGGTGTGCTTTTGTTACGAGATTATGGCCGTTACGATATGGCCCAATTGCGATTCAAGCCTGGACATAAAATCTCTGATAACTTCTACATGCGGCAAGATGGCACGAGGTAAAGAATCCGTGGAGTCCATGGATATTTTGCTCATTTAAATAGGATCATAATTGCTGTATAATTTAAATTTGTTTTGTTTTGAGCTTTCTTTTGAGTTTACCATGTTCTCAAATTATTTCTGCTTCAGAAGCTACTACTTCACTGAAGAAGAACTACAGAAGTTGTTCACCGACACGGGGTTTGAGGTCCTCATGAACACATATGTGCAGCGACGAACAGTCAACTTCAAGGAGGGCATTGATGTACCACGCATATTTGTTCAAGGGAAATACAAAAAGCCGGCTAAAGGTATAAATTAAAACATGTCTAAACATTAGTATGTTGCCATATAGATCTATAAAACTTTTGGAGTTAGATTAATTCAATGATAGGAAAACTATTAATAATAGTTAAATAATTATTTTATAAGAGTTTGTGGACACATCATATTTCAAAGGCCTCTTAATACATACTTTGTAAGCTATATCTAGGTTGGGGTGCGGTTTATTATACTTAAATATATCAATTTTTTAAATGCTTTTCAAGCATAGCTAGTAATGTATTTTTATGAAATTATAATTTCATTTAACTGTATTAACATAATGAAGGGTAAATAATGATATTAAAACTTAATAAAAGGAGGATTTTATGTAATTGCAATTGTTTTTGGTGATCCATTATCATAAGTTACTAGTCTGTCTTCGTTTTCTAAAGTGTTTCCTTAGTACTGTGAATAGACCACTGCTGCATTTAATGATGATAAGTGCTAACCATTGAAAAACCATGATCTTGCATGTATATTAGCTCTAGCTGACACTAATATACACAGATAACTATAATCTAACATGAGACTGAACGGTAAAGCATAGTATTTTTCTGTCTTGTTACAGATTGAGTCTAAATCACAGAAGGCTGGACTACATTGGAAGAAAAGTCATTGGTAAGCTAAATTGTATACACTAAACATCTTTTAAAAAAGAAAAATAACATGGTCAATCTGGTTCTCTTAAAAACAAACAGGAAATTTCATAAATCATTCCTGTTATGCTCAACATGCAAATAATTGAAATTTCAACTCACTAAAATGGGCATTTACTGTGAGTGTTTTACTTAACATGACCGTCATTCGAAAATCTTTTTATAATAAGAAATTGTACCATGATGACAGCGCAGTGCAGCTGAAAACCTTCAGTTGCCTCACAAGGGCTTATCTATCTAGAGTAGGAACATCATTGGCAGTAATTTTAATGTAAAAAACTATTTTCTTTTTTTTTTTCTAAATTGTAGCATAGGGCAGCTCATTGTGAGGTTTGATGTACAAATTAATGCTTTTATAGCACACTGATACTAAATTTTTCATAATGTAAGTAATATAGGTTTTATGATGTTTTAATTTTGTTTTTTTTTTGGCAGGTATAAGCACTGGAGAACCAGGACTTGCAGTGAATATGTAAGATATTTTTTTTCATATACAGTAGATTTGCAGGACTTGTGTCCAGTAGTAAAAATATTGTGAAGAAAGAATTTCTAGAGGGAAAACACTTCACTTTAAACTTTCTTTTTCTTAAATAAATAAGAGGTCACCTCAAATTTATTTCTCCAATGGATCCATTTAAGTTAATTATTTTGGAACAAGAAAATAAACGATAGTTTAATTAGATTAGCAAAATCCTGTTTATTACCTAACTAAGTGATGATTTCATAGTTCATCTGAATGTTTTGATGTACAACCCTTTTTTGTCTTTCGCTCCTATCTGATTATAAAAAAATTAAATACTCAAAAGAACAAACATTTATACTTTTTTTAATTAAGTAATTTGTATTTTCAGGCTCTATCAAGATGGCGCTGATGGATAATAGCAAAACGAGAAAGCAAGGTGAGATATTTACATCACTTAAAATCCAATGACTACTGATGGCAATGCATCTAAACATATTTTACCATTCTCAAATTTAATTCTTGGGTTTCTTTTATGGCCCGTCACTACCTGAGACCACTCCTCCTTAGAAATGTAATCGTTTTTTAATGGAATAAAGAAAAGAGGCAAATTGGGGTAGCGAAAACAGAAATGCCTTGCCTCAGTTACATGCTTTGACTAGGTTTAACTGATACATTTAACAGCACCAACTCTAAATGATGACTTCATAGTTCATCTGAACGCTTTGATGTACAACCATATTTTGTCTTTCGCTCCTATCTGATCGTCTTTATATACTTTAACATAATAATAGTTTTGCAACATCATTTTATATGAAATTTTCCTTATCTTGCAGATAACACGGACATGTCTCGAGAGAAAATTTTGTCAGAAATTGACAACATTGATTTTACAAGGTGAGAATTTCATTAAGTCGTTAAAGCTATAAAAATTTAATGAATTTGGTGTTACCCTTTGGGTACGGAACCCAAAAAACTATGTAAAATGATGATTATAGATAGGGACATCTGATGAACACTGCTGTTAACATAACTATCCCTACTGATTACAATTACAACATGTAATTAAGCTACGTTAATATTATATTTGTCATTAACTTCAGTTATTTTCTTGTTCACAGTTGTCTTGTACACTTCAGGAGATTCAATATGCATTAATATGTAAGTATATTTTGTTCTTAAGATTTAGTTAGTTTAAAAAACTTACTGTTATAAGAAAACTCATTCATACGATGATACTGCCTTTATGACAAGACGCAAAAAACCTTTACGTAAAGCAAAAATTTAATTACCTCGCCCTAAATGAAAAAAAAAGACAACTCCCGCGTTAAAAATATATCCTGTGTCGCGGGGGACTTTACGAACATATATGAAACGGACACAGAACAACCAGACTCAAAAGAACAATTTGTGGATCACACAAAGTGTCATCCCATGATGAGATCGGACCCACAACACTCAGCGTAGTAGTAAGCGGCGTGACAACCGCTTAAACCACTACGCCATCTGTGCAGTCAAGTTCACAAGAACATTTTTTGCTGTGCAATAGAAACATCCAGGGCATACAAGATCATTACGAAGACCTATGTATTAATTGGCACGGTTAACAGTATAGCGATTTTAAATTTTGAACTCGTGAACTTTATATTATAATGTGAATATTATATTAGTTACACAACACAGTCATAAACATAACTGTGGGCCAAGTGCAAGTTTATTTCACTTCTACTCGATCGAATAGGCGCTACGATTGGCCCTAAACGCGCTCGCCGTCGAGAGCAAATCAATGTGAAATAAACTTACACTCTGACCTCTGTAATTGCTGATATGCAGTACTTAATGCAAGTAGTTTGTGTTCGTCTTGTCGATGACCATTAAATTTAAATAAACAGTGGTGCCAATTCTGTTGTTCAAAAACTGTCTAAACTAAACTAAAAATCACTAAAAACTTGATTAGTCCTGTCGAACAACGTTACCTATTCTGAAAACGTAATATTTCATCAATCACATCAACAGCCTTTACTAGTCCACTGCTGGGCCTCTCCCTAGAAAGGAGGTTTTGGCCTACTAATAACGTAATATTTGACAGGACAAAAATCTTTTTTAGCGATTTTTAGTTTGGAGAGTTAAGAATTACCACCAATGGTGGTTATTATTGCAGAATAAAAATTAATTTCATTTTTATGTAAACATGTCTGGCTATGGTTTATTATTATTTATTTTCATGTTTAGTTTGAAATGATGATCACAGATAGGGACATCTGATGCATAATGCTGTTAAAATAACTATCTCCACTGACAACAAATGAAATAAATCGTATTGTCTCCTCCATTTTACACATACATTTACCCAAAATATTTTTGTTCACAGGTATATGAATAAATTGAAAGATTGATGGACGGGACCTATTCAACATTAATTTGTGAATGTAAGTATAAGTACTGGTGCTAAAGTTGTTTTTAAGATAAAAGTTAAGGAACACACCCATACTATGTGATCCATTGTTTACAATTTTGACCCCCTCCTCCCCCTCTCATTAGTTTGACGTAGCAAATCATTATTATGGTTTTAAATATTTTTTTCTAAACAGAAACTTGAAAGTAATAATTGCAAAATTACCAATACGTGACAAATACCTAGGCCCTCCCTTTTGCCCGTGTGACTAAAGGGTATTCACTAGACTTGCAACGAATATTCGGTTACTATTCGGTATTCGGCCTATTCGGCTGCTTTTATTATATTCGGCCGAATACCGAATATCTACATATTATTCGGCCGAATACCGAATACTTAAATAATATATTTTGTCATTGAGAAATAATTGGTAAAATGAAAAATTAAAATCGATTGATTACGTATATATTCATATTTTCATTTCTGTTATTATCATTTAAGTAGTCATTGGTGCATAACACAGGTACATAATCATCTTTTGAATTGGAAAAATGGAGGATTCTATGTATTTGAATTATTGTGGTAATCAAAATTTAGAAGGGTAAGGTTCTCATTTCTTTTATAATCATTTATTAAGTAGTCATTGGTACATAAAACAGGTACATAATTTAATTCACGTCTGTACAAGTTTTTGGCGCTAGAATCCAGCCGAATACTTTTGCCTAATATTCGGCTATTCGGTCAGGGGCCTCGCCGAATATTCGGTATTCGGTATACTGCCGAATATACTATTCGTTGCAAGTCTAGTATTCACATAGTATGGGTATGTTCTCATACCTGACAATGATGACCCGACCTTCAGGTCTCCCTCAACAGAGTGAACCCAAAAAACCATGTTGACCAACTTACGCGTCTGAGTTATTTTCTATATTCAAAAAAGTTACATATTTCTCATGCTATTGAAATTGAATATTTTTAATTTTTGTTTCAGCTTTCAAACATCTGGGAGAAAAGATTTCAGGACAAAAATACAGAGGTATGTTTCATTTTTTTATTGTACTTTGAAATTCAGTTACGTTTGTATCCCAAAGAGGTAGACAGAGATGTAATAAACACCCATTTGCTAATTACCATAATTGTGAAAATTGAAAAATGAGAATAAATCAGTTAAAGATTGCAAGAGAATGATTATCACTTATAGAGACTATGTACATATGTATTTCGAAACAAGTTTTTTGCCAGAGAGTCGCTCTCTGGATTCCCGCTTCTAGCAAATTATACTTATTTTAGTTTTACTTATCTTTGTATTAAAAAAAACAATGATGACCAGACCACATTCAGGTCTCCCTCAACAGAGTGAACCCAATTTATCATGTTGACCAAACTTCGCGTCTGAGTTATGCAATACAACACTTAAACAACCAATATTAATGAATCAAGTATCTACAAGTAACATTCATCTACTGTTTCAGGAACCGAGCCCTTTTGCCGCAGAGCCTCATTTGTTGTTGACTCCCTGTCGAAATGGTAAGATGTATTCCATGCTTTAAACTGTAACTTGGTATATGAATTAATATCGGCTGCGGACTGCGCAAAACCGGGATTGTTGGCCCTCCTTGGGGAGGCCTTCATTCTACAATGGAGAGAGATAGCCTGATCATTATGATTACAAGTATTAAGTGTTCAAACAAAAAAAAAAACAAATAGTAGTTAATGTTTACCAGATGTTTCTTTGCAAATAAACTCGCAATGGCCCAAATATGGGAAGATACGATATCAATTTGAAGTGATGACTACAGATAGGGACATCTTACATATAATGAATGATGTTAACATAACTATCTCCACTGATAATAAACTATTAGCCAATGGTAGTACTTTGTATTAGTGAACATTTCTAAAATGTACTTCCTTTTGCAGGTACATGAATAATTAGTAAAGAGATGTGGGATTGGAAAAGTTTATAATTGTAAGTATTAGTATTTTGTTACATACGCACACACACACATGAACAAACACACGTCACACACGCCTGCATTTAATTAATTTTTTGTTAGTGTACTTGCTTTATATGAACTTTTACACTTTGTATCAACTAATCCTACTGGATTTCGCGGAAGAGTTGCTAACTTGTCGAAGTTATTAATTATTTAAAAAAACAATATTAACTTTACACAGCAGTCTGATCCCAAACAAGGCAGAGGTTGTATTACTATGGAACCAGACTACTGATAAACATACTAAATTACAATCAAATACAGAACCAACTATCACACAATTATTTTTTTCTGGGTGAGAATCGAATCCACGACCTCCTGCTTAGCGGTCTAATTAATCCATAATTACAGTTACAAATATTATTTAAAATGATGACCCGACCTTCAGGTCTCCCTCAACAGAGTGAACCCAAAAAACCATGTTGACCAACTTACGCGTCTGAGTTATTGTAACTCTCCATAATTACCGTTACTTTAATAATTATTACATATTAAAAGATTATCTCATTTTTTACAGATACGCGCAATCTAAGCTCACAACACTCGACATCAAGAAATCTTTAAGGTATGTCTGTCGGAACGGTATTTATTCCCATTAAGAAGCAGTGTAAAATTAAAACACGATATTGTGTTGAAAATAACAAAAGTAGTGTCACTTTTAGCACAATACCACAATAACCTAGCTATAGTTAAACCGCCGTAAGCTTGGCCCTCCTGATGGTTTGGGGGACGCAGGGCGGGGGTGTATTCAACCAATTAGCTAGTGCGTCGCTGTCCGCCGGCAGTGACTGACGTGAAAGCATGGCTGTACGTGTTATTTTTCTTGAGACTACTATCAGGAGGGCCAAGCATACGGCGGTTTAACTATAGTTGCACTATGATGACCCGACCTTCAGGTCTCCCTCAACAGAGAGAACCCAAACAACCATGTTGACCAACTTACGCGTCTGAGTGCTAATAAATTCTATCTGCCGAGGTCCAATATTACATACAAATCGATATAAAATGAATTATTTATTG